GGTTGTCCCTCAAAACAAAAGTAGCGTAGGAAGTGGTAGCCCTAACCCTCCTTCCGATGCGGCCAGCGAAGCCCTAGTTGATATATTTTTAATATCCTCACAATTAAAACACAGGGGGTGTTCGAAAATATCTTTTGTCGTATCAAATTTTATTTTTTTGGCGTCTGCATGGACAGATGTCCGACGGACTGTGATAGAGGTGACGTGGCTGAGTTTTAATGATTTTTATCAAAGGGTTTTGGTTTGGTGGTCTAATTGTAGTTAATAATAACGAAGCTTGAGTTTGTAAGTAAAAGTGTTGGAGGAAACTCTTAAATACAAATTTTGGACTATAGGTAATGTTCCTCTTAATATCTTTGGTTTCTTTTTCATTTTGACAAATATCACATTTACCAAACATCACGAAGTCAAACAAAGTCTTTTACTTTCCATTAACACAAAAAACACTTTCATTTTATTATCTTTTCGCAAAACCCAAACAGAAACAGGTACGGTACAAAAATGTATTCATCCTTTATATTTTCTTCCCTTCGTCTCAATCCCCTAAGAAAAAAAAGTAAAAAGGTCATTGCACCCGGAACAGTGCGGCACGCGCGGGCCACAGGTGTTCGCTCGATAATATCGATTTTTGTCGCACAATCGATACGTGACGTCACAAAGATGGCGGCTGCGCACGCAGCTGTCGTTTGATAAAAACACGTATGCTAATGAAGGGCCCATAAAATAGGGGTTCAACAATATCATTTTTGGGACACGCGAATGTAGTTTTTTGTTGTAATTTATTATCTACGTTGACGAATTTGAATTTTTGGGGTGTTATGGTCTGTGAACACTATGGTAGTATTTGAATATACATAGCTGTAGTTTTTGCTTCGTGATGTCGGTTTAACTTGCAAAAAATGTGTTTTTTGGCAATTAATCCTTTCTTCGGTGAATTTTATTTTTAACTTGTTTCATCAATTGTGTTTAAATGTTCACAATTTACATAACAATGTTAGGTAACAATTTGATGCATTTGGTAAAATTAATTCACAGTATTATGTGGTTTACTATGAAGAGATGAAATAGTTGTATTCAAAGGTAGGCTAGTCACGGTATAGAATCTAGATCTAGAGGTATGATTTACTGACAGACTCGCTTACAGCATGGGATTATGAGATGAGTAGTCGGTAGAGAGAGCAATATATCACCTTCCTGAACTAACACTGGCTAGCTAGAACATAGTAAGCAATTATAATTTCTCAACTCAACTAATATTATAAAACGATATTATATACACAAACGTCGGTATTTTTTGTCGCCTTTTTAAGTTCCATCTTCCAAGTCTTATTCTTCTTGAAATGTTGCATACTCTGTTCTTTTTTTTGAGAGTACGGAAAAGAAAATAGGCTAATTCACGAAGGCAAAGACGCGGGTAAAAGCCAGTGTAATAAACATACATAATTAATGATTTATTTTATTTATCAATATTGTTGTTTCTTGTAATTGTTTGTTTTTATTTTGATTTTGTATCTAACACAGTTACACAGTTATTTGTCTAGGTGTCATTATTTCTTTACCTGCCACAGGCCCACAGAAAGAAATTCCAGTTGGAATATGTGGGACCTATGTACTTCTTTTTTACTTATATATCTATCGTCCTTTGTGTTGTATGTGTGCACATAAATAATAAATAAATAAATCATGATATTGTGAGAGAACAGTAGTAAATACCTTAACACCCAGTTATCATAGTTTTATCTAAATATCTGTGTCTTTGGAAGTAAATTCGCCATTTTAACTAATTATCTCATAATTAAACAAGAAATAATGTAATCTAGTATATATATTACAATATTATAGATACACGTAAACGTGTGGCGGTAATGACGTAACGTAGTTAGGGACGTGGTATAGGGGCTGCCGTTTACTGGAATAGGGATGGGATTTGTATCGATAAGCTCAAAATTTCTCGATGTTTTGCTAATTTATTTCGGACTGTTACGATTTGGTTGACTGGTCTTATGTAAAGCGAAGGAGTATAAAGGTGCTTCTGGTAGAACTTTCAGTAGTACAGAGTTTGAGATCGGGGTTTGTGAATATATATAATAACTTTACCTTCCATTTGTAGTACCTGTGACTAAATAAATGTGTTTTAGATATGATAGGTTTTAAAATTTACATAATATGTATAACTGTCATACCTATTATGACAGTGTCAATTTCAATTACAGAGTCTGGTTTGGATCTGAACAGATATTAGAGTTAGGTTAGGTTTCATCGTGTGACAACGTCGCGAATTCGATTCCTGCCTGTGCAACACGTTGCGGTCGTTAACATAGATATAAACATCAATACATAGTATAAAACAAAGTCGCTTTCGCTGTATGTCCGTATGTATGCTTAGATCTTTAAAACTACGCAACGGATTTTGATGCGGTTTTTTTTAATAGATAGAGTGATTCTTAAGGAAGGTTTGTATGTATAATACATGCATATTGCACCCGTGCGAAGCCGGGGCGGGTCGCTAGTTTTTATATAAAATACTTATTCGGTGTCCAACACAATACAACTACATCCGATTTATCGATATCGATACTTAAATCCCATCTCTAAAAGCCCTTTGTCACGAGCCAGGTGTCGCGCGGGGTCATTGGGAGCACCTGCTCATGTGTGCGTGTACTCGTGTAGACGTGTAAAAGTGATGAACGCACACATGCATAGTACAAGAGTTTGTTTGCCTGTTTATGCTCGCGTCTGCTACATTTTTGTTAATTACTTCTATGGTATTTTTTTTTATTAGATTTTTTTAAGTGCTAGGTTTAGCTATTGTCAGCGGCTTCAGTGCTTCAGTATGGAAGTTAACCAAGCTATGTGTTATTCCAGATTATGATCTATTTTTATGTTTTCACATGCTTTGCTCAGCTTCTAATGGTCGTAGCGTGATGTTTTATAGCCTATATCCATCCTCGATAAATATGCTATCCAACACAAAAAGAATTATTGAAATCAGACTTGTAGTTACGGAGATTCGCGTTCAAACAAACAAACAAAAAACAAACATGCCCGCTTTATATTATAGTATAAGATTATATTCAGATTCGTTCAGTAGTTTAAGGTGAGAAAGTCATACATAATTACGACACAAACACAAAAACGAAGTTAGAATAAAACCTTTTAAAAAACATAAACTTTTCTCGACCCAAGAATCGAACCCTTAAGATCTTGATGTTTATACTTATTGGTTACATCTACATCATTTACATTTTATATATCCTCGCATTATAATATTAATAAGGATGAGGTTTTATTTGTCAAATGTGTGCATAGATTTTAGATCTAGACTAGAAAGTCTAGGTCATAATCATACGCGTTTTGACCGTCTCATGTCTGTCAAGTGATAAAAAGAGCGTTCCAGTTCAATTCTTGGGCCAAAGTAAAGAGTAAATTTTAACTACAGTAAAGGACTTTTTAACAGTATGGGGTTTGAAGTTGTGCCCAAGCATTGTGTTAGTTACCCCTCTTATACATTGTAACTAAGACAAAAGTGACGAAAAGAGGGTGTCCCATAACCACACTTCTGCTGGCTCCTGTAAGTAAAACAGGCGTGATGTTTATTTAATAATAGCTCTTATTTTTATCATATTATCACTGAAAGCTTTACCTACTTCATAAATAAAATACTCAAACAAGTTTAATGAATAAAGTAACGTGTTTACTTTCAAATGCTAATATGACAGAGTCTATTCAATCGAGATTTTTTGACTTTGACTGACTGAAAAGAATCAGGTTTTGAAAAAATAAATTATTTAAGTAAAAATCTTTGTGTACCTACGTAAATATAAAACTGGCTTTAATAATAATTCAGGATGACCAATAAACAGGTTTATATTTTTTTTTTTTTTTTTGAACAGTCGAAATATTTTATTTTTGATGGGAATCGAGAATATATACAATTAATATCAACTATAAGGCAATTATGCTTTCGAACCGTTTGGGGTTGAAACTTTAGGGCCGTGGGGCCCAAGTGCACATCTTCTCTACAAAGATATTGTAAAGAGGATGGTTGACACTTCAGGTGATCGAAGGGCTGGCTTCTACCTTGGACAAAGGTTAAGCATTGCCATTCAACGTGGTAATGCTGCCAGTCTTTTGGGCACCCTACCTCACGATAATGATGAGGAAAATTTTTTTTTTGATGCCTTATTATAGCTTATTTATTTATTATTACCTTTTTTTTAAGGTGTAAATATTTTAGTTCATAGTTATTTTTATTTTAAGTTGTATATATTTTCATTTAGTTATGGTTTATATTAAAAATATTACAACTTTAATAAATAAAATATTAGAATTTGCCCCAAACGTATGAAACCCTAAAACTAAAACACACTGGTCCCTACTCAACTGTCGGTCCAAAATAGCCAGACTGAAACTACAAATTATAAACCTACAATGTTATGTAAGCATTCCTTTCAGGATGCTCCCACCATCTCTTGCAACAATATTTACTCCATAATACGAAACAGCAATAATATTTCAAGCTTTGTAGCGTTAATTATTTCCCTCTTGGAAGTTCCACCATGAGGTAAGCTTGGCTAGCAAGTAGCCAAGTGACAGCAATGCTCGAACGAGGGCACTCCCGTCACCAGTACACCCCCAAACTCAGGAATAGACGTTCCATTACATTCACCATCGACGCTTCAATACCAACGTCTCTATCCCAGACACAAACGAACCAGCAATGATCATCAAACAATCCGAACAGTTAGAAACACTCCATGCTCACCGCCCCAGGGTAGGTTAAGGGTGCATTGTATACAGCTAACGTCAGATAGCCCGACAAAGTAACCAAAGTCAAACGAAATCCAACTTAACATCTTTCTCATAAGGTCGACAATCCCATTCCACTATCAATGATAGGTTGTTTGAAACGAGGGTGAAGAAACAGGGGTGTTTGCAGGATGCGGGACGGGGGGAAGGTAGGGTGCGTCGCGCAGGCGTGCTTCAGTCGCCCGCGCGACCCCGCTGCCGCCGGCCGCGCGCCATGGACGAAGGAAGAGCGCGCGATCGCGCTCCACTCACGGTTATAGTCGCCCCGAGCAACGCCTCACCACCCAGACTGTCACCTGCGGACCTGCTGCCCGATGGAGACGCGGCGTTTCACCCTCTGTCCGCAGTGAACGGGCGCCTGACCCCGCCGGGGCTCGAGCCAGCATCGTACGCGACGCTTACCCCTCTGCTCCCACTGCCGCCGATAAGCACTGTCTCGGACAAGTTCGCGTACCACGCCGGGGGTACGTTCACAGTAATCCAGCAGCAGCAGTCGTATGCGTCCCTCTCACCGACTGCTTACAATGAGCCTCTGTCACCACAGTCAGCGTACAGCAGGCGGAGTGCATCGCCGAACTCATTCGAAAGGCGATCTCCCACGCCGCCATTACCGAGTCCAGGGCTGGACTTGAACGCGGCGTTGCTTGCCAGGGAGGAGCAGCAAGCACAACAACAACAGCAACAAGCTCAGACAGATACAGAAGAAATAAATACAAAAGAATTAGCTCAGAGGATAAGTGGGGAATTGAAGAGGTACTCGATCCCTCAGGCGATATTTGCTCAGAGGGTGCTGTGTAGATCCCAGGGGACGCTGAGTGACCTGCTGAGGAACCCGAAGCCCTGGTCGAAGCTCAAGTCTGGAAGAGAGACGTTTAGGAGGATGTGGAAATGGCTTCAGGAGCCGGAGTTCCAGAGGATGTCGGCACTGAGGCTGGCAGGTACGTGCTGCATGATTGATGTTTGTAGACTCGGTGCTAGATGTGTATCTTTGTTGTTTTTATTGTTTCTTTCTACAGGTGAGTTGAGCAGACGTTGTTTATGATCCTATAGGTATTTCAAACACTATACCAAATAATATACCACTACAAACTATAATAACATCAAGTTCACTTGAAAATTCGCGGCTAAAGCAGATTCTTATTAGGTTTGGGAAACCACGTGCTTACAATGTTTTAACAAGTAACATAGGTTTTTCAGTCTACACATAACTGTACCTGAAACCCACCTTACTCAAGCCTCATTTTTACCTATTTTTAAGGTTATATTATAACTCCTACGCGGACGCTTTAAAATCTAAATGGTGTCATAAATCCAAGTTGAGTGAAGCGTTCCCACTCAGGCTATATTTGCATAATGTGACCTGACCCGGATTACCACGTGGATTTACTTTTATTCACATACATTCATAATTTTCTAGGTTTATGTTTGTGTATAAAACCTTTATGACTTCAACATAAATATACATACAGACTCTTAAACTGTATTGGTTAAAAACGACTGCGTACAGCTAATTTTAGGATTGAAATCTCAGATTAGCATCTTGTCGGATCATCATCATTAGTCAGATCACCTTTGACTTGAAATTTACATTCGTATCAGGTCTGTTATTTTCCTAGGGTGTAGGTAGAGGTTACACCCTAGGAGTGAGACCCCTAAAGTCCTAAATACCAAGTCTAATTGTAATAGTGAACTAACTACAGCAACAACTTTGTCTAAGTCAAAATCGTCTTAATAATAATTTTTAATATAACATCACGCCCTTTATCCTGAAGGGATAGGCAGAGGTGCACATTATGCCACTTAATGCCACTGTACAGTGTAACACCCGCTTTTCACTATTTATGTTACGAGTCCCATGTAATAGGGGTGAGCCTATTGCCATATACCGGGCATAATTCCGGACTACCTGCAACTACGGCCTTTTTTTAACCCAGAAATGCTTTGCCCGACCCGAGAAACGAACCCGAGACCCCTTGCCCGGTAGTCGCATTTGCGACCACTCGGCCAACGCGGCAGTAATCATTATTATATGCGTTAAAATAGAAAAACAACAAAAACGTGTTGCCTAGGAAACGTACCTAGAACCTCACATTCAGTAGTCACATTTGCGACCACGCTACCAATAAGATACAGCAAAATGATGATCCCCATTATTTAGGTGTTGTAAAATATTAAAGTTAAAAATGAATTCTGTTTATTTTTTTCTAAAAACGAACTAAAATTTGTAATGCTGTTTAGTTTTGAAACAATAAGCTGTTGATTAAGTTTTGATTTAACAAAAGCTAGTCTTTCTCAGTCTAGATTAGGTTTGGCGGTCTGATCTAGAAATGTTATTTCAGGCTAAGACTTAGGCATGCAGACAGATAATAATTACGATGGATGTTTAGTTACTGTTTTTATTTATTCAAAAGGAAATTGTTTTGTTTGAGGTCTCAAGTTTTCGAAGAGTTATTTTCGTGGCTACAAAAGTTAACAATACAAGAATCCTATTTATAATTTAGAAAAATTAACGAGTTTAACATTTATTTTCCTCTTACTAAATCAAAATTTAAAACTTCTATCGTAGCTAGGTATACATGTGACGAGCTACTATAATATTATCTACCATATTGTAACATACCTACATTGACAAAATAAATAATATTTGTATTGGTATTAAATAAATTATTATGTTTTCGGCTTATGCACGTAATAATTTGACGAGGAACTCGACTAGTTTCAAGCCATGCTAGAGGCACGCGGCCGAAAACATAAATTAATATAGTATGTCTCACGAAAGTTACAATGTATTGGTATTTACATCAACTAATGGTAATTCAATGAATAACACACGACATTTTTATAAGAGGTACGCATTTTGTCAACCAAAAACTCTTGACAAAAGTAACTTGATGTATGAACTATACACACTTTAAATTATATCTAAAGAATCTGTGAATGTCTTCAATTTTAGAAAAAACGTGAAAAATACGAAACTTTAAGTGTTGGAGAGCCATGCTTCGGCACAAATGGGCCGGCTCGACCGATGTGATACCACGGCCTCACAGAAAACTGACGTGAAACAACGCTTGCATTGTGTTTCGTCGTGTGAGTGAGGTTACCGGAGGCCCAATTCCTGAATCCCCAACCATCCTCAAACTCCTAATCCCCAAAAGGACGGAAACCCACTTGTAACGCCTCTTGTGTTCCAGGTGTCCATGGGCGACGCCGATTGTTTACCATCAGGTCATCCGTCTGCTCGTTTACCGGCTTATGCCATAAAAAAAATATTGTGAAAGAATCATACAGAGAATCGACAGTAGCCAATAGATGAACTACCTTTTATAGTATCCCCAACTTTTATGGCTGTCTTGAGAATAGGACTATAAGATCTCTCCCAACCGTCCCTTATTGCCCTTCTTTAGTGACTCCCTAATCCAAAGTTTAGCCTACTTTGTGTCTTACGAAGCTAAATGTGAAGGTTCTAAGGATTTATTCTGGAGAATAGTACTCACATAAAGTTGGGGTCGGCTATTAGTATAATAATTCCCCAATTATGACTCCTTTTGTCGATATTTCTATTGTTAATCATGACTGAAATTATCTACAGTTGTATCTATGGAATAACATGTCTTTAGTGTCATGTTAATCCAGGTCATGGACTGAACCCTGAAGAACAACTACAAGAAGTCTCATTACGATTTTTTCATAGGCATTTTCTCATTTAAAATCATTAGTAGCATATGAGAAAAGATAGGAAAAGTAACTGAAAATCGTTGAGAAACTCTATATACATAGTATAAATTTCATACAAAAACGTTTACTACAAACAAACTGAATAGCAGTTTTCCACGACAAGACGGCAGACGAACGTAGCGTAACGGGCCAATGATGTGACACAAGTTATCGACAAAACGCATAGAGTTTACAAACATCGGCCGCGTCAGCTGCGTCCATCGATTCGTACAATCGATGCGTTGGGTCAACCGCGCGGTCGATGCGGCACGTCACTAGTTCGTGTAGCCACGCGATTCTTTAAAGCGGGATTGTCTTGAAAGATAAGTGTGGATGAATGGATGAGTGTATGGCGTCATTCATTCAAAGATATATTTAATAATGGTAAAGGATTGTTTTTGGGAAAAATATTGCGCATTTCATTTATTATTTTCCATTTTTAAACTTTTGGAACGAGGGTTTCTGTTATTGACTATATTTGTCTCGACAATATATTTAGGACTTTTATGGTGAGTCTTATTTAATTTTTTGATAATTTACAGAAATACGAATTAAAAGAAAAAATCCAGTACTATATAGTATTTTTTCCGTACAAGTAATAATAATGTACCTACAATATATTTTATCGATCATTAAAAATGTAAAACACAGCTAGGAAACGTCAGCTGCGTCCATCGATCCCTCTATAATGAATGCACGGTCGATGTGTGACGTAACGATGGGGTGCGTTACCCTCGCTCAAAGGGATTTATAGTTTCGGTTTGTGCGTTACTAATTTATTCAAACCCTGGACTTTATTATACATACATGATTAAAATTCTGTTGGTTGCTTGACTCGTATTATTATTATAAAGTTTTTGTTTGGAATAGGTATGATTACTTATAATTTAGATTCTTAGATATATTATCTCTGATATAGATTTAATATATTAATAAAAATCTTAAATGAGATCTTTGGTATATTTAAGTATCTGATGTCAATGACCTAAAAGCAATTTGTGACATGAAAGATTGAAAATTAGAACCGTTAACTAATTGTTCGATAAAGTGAATTTTTTGGTCTAAGTGAAACTTAAATAATAATTTCACAATTATTCAGTCCTGAGAGTTTCATAATTATACTCTATATTTCAGCCTTGAAAAGTCCTATTTCCTTAGCGTCTTTCCAAAAACTAAATTATTCCTGGTTACCCTAGTCAATTTGGTTGTACGTGTCGTCGACACGCGACCGCTAGCAACGTTCAGTAACCATTGCGTTTTACTTACGTGAGTCGCAGGGACATAGGTACAGTAAACAGGCAATGTATATAATGTATAGTGTACGTTGCGTGGTTCACTAGTTATGATAGATGGGCACCATTCATATAATAATGAGGGTAGTTTTCTTGTCAGGATTTTAATGTGATGTAGGGTAGTTAGCTGGCATAATTATTTTAATGAGGGATTATTAAATTCAGTGATTTTTTTTTTCATTGCGTGGTCTATTAGTGCGATTTTTAAACAGTTTACTTAAAATTAATAAATTATCTATGGCACCCAGTTATGCATGTTTTCGGTTTTTTTTTATGGCATATTCCGTAAACGAGCAGACGGATCACCTAATGGTAAGCAATCGGCGTCCCCCATGGACATCTGGAACAGAAGCGTTAGAAGTGAGATACCGGCCTTTGGGGATTAGGAGTTTGAGGATTCGGGGATTGGGGAGATTCGGGAAGGGGGGAGGGAGCTGGGCCTCCGGTAACCTTACTCACACGACGAAATACAACGCAAGCGTTGCTTCGTGTTCTGTTAAATTACATCAAGGTTCGTGGTCAGCCATTGAGTTATTGGTAAACTCTCATGAGGTTTTCATACCATGGATGTTGTCTTTAGTTTGCCCTAGGCTAGGGCCCATAGCACTCGTTTGATTACTTAAGCCTTAGGCTTTTTAAAGTTTTGCATATTTTTGACTAGATTCTGCCGGCAGCTTAGCCCGTGTTCCCATGGGATAAAAATGGCCTATATGGTATTCCAGACCATAATATTTGTATTCATATTCATTTACCTACTCGCGTATCATCATCAACAGCCTATAAATGCCCACTGCTAAGCAAAGCCTCTTCTCACACGGAGAAGGTTTGATTATTAATCAAACGCTTACTCAATACGGGTTGGCGATTACAAACTTATAATTAGAAATTATAAGCCCAGGATTCCTCACGATGTTTTCCTTCACTTAGAAAGT